GGCTAAAAGAGTTATCGATGATTCCACCTGTAATTAGAAGCCATTATGCTTGTTCAAGCCTAGCGCATAAATTTGTGCCAGTTTCATTTGAACTTCTTAGTTTATCTCCGAGACCGAGGCGAGCTTGCGAAGCCTGCGAAGCTTGGCTTTGCGCTAATGCTGTCTGTATCCACTCTGCCAAATTAGATGGAGACGTTTGCTGGATTTAGTTAGCGAACTATCCAGGCACCGGTCTTTATGCCCAACGATTGGCTGCGCTAATATTTTTAACCCGCCAACATCCGCTAAAAAGGAAAAGTATTCGAGAGATTGATTCATCAACACCCCTAGACTAGTCTCCTAATAAGACACTTAACTATTATAGATTATGTTGAATCTTGTCTTCTATCAAAAAGCACTCACTAAAGCATAGACGTTTAGAAAGTAAGATGATATAGACTTGCTCTTCGGTTTGCGATAGGGGGACTAAAAAACGTTCTAAAAAACGGTCTAAAAGACGGTCTGAAAAACGGTCTGTCGAATAGTGTTAAAACATTTGCTGTGTCACTGTACTAAAAAAGGACACCGTGAATTACACATACTAAGCCTTCCCTAATTAGGCTTAGACAGGTGGAGAGGGAGTCCGAATATCAACAAGAGGGGGTCCTTTTAACATTGCCCTTTAATGCGGGTTCAGGAGTAAGATAAGAACTGTAGTGAAATTGAATTACAAGTTGTATCTGACTGTCTTTATTTCCCTTCACGAAAACTAAGACGAGAAACACCTAAGAAACCGAACATGAGGTGTCAATACTCTTGGAAGATACCAGCTGCACCAATTTGTTGTCCTTAGCAAACAGTACCATATCAGCGGACCCCTGCTTAAATTGCGGCCAGGAAAAGTAACTCTGCTGTGTCGGATTTGCGGCAACATTTCCTAGCGCTGCACGGACAGTACCGCGCGTGGGGTCCTCAGCAAAGCTTAGCCATAATGCTTCCATAGCGTAGCTAACCTCCCATTCAAACTTGGTTGAGGCGCCACCATACTCGGAATGTGTTCCAAATAGCAGAGGTAGCTCTGAACTATGATAGGCACCAAACCAAGGCAGAGGAGAAATGTTTGAGAAGTTGCCAGCGTATTCGTAGCGATAGGTTGGAAGGTCTCCAAGGTGGCGGTTCTTAGCTTCTGATGCGACAGGGCAGCTGATAATCTTTGTAGCACCGGCTAGTGCTTGCTCCCCGGGTCCCTCGGGGGTGAATGACACAAAGCCAGCACCTTCATTTGAATTGCTACCGATTATCATTGGCTAGAATATTGGATTGTGTTAGTATTCTCATGAATCCAGTTGATTAGGATTTGTGTACTGACTGTTTTGGCAATTTTTCCATCCAATACCCGCTCGGTCCAATTTGAAAACGCAGTCTTGTTGTCGATGACTGGTTTGAACGAGATGGACGGTAATGTATCGTTGCCGGAATAATACGATAATGCATTCTCAAGCGTCTGAGCTGGTACCTTTCTGACACAGCTCAGTTCTTTCTCAGGGCTGAGCCCCTTACATCCAACCAGTCCAGCCAAGAAAGTGAAGTTTGTGTGGGCCACATCACTTCCGCTGACAATACCTGGACCCCCGGAGTCTGCGATAAGACCAGCAACAAGAGGATCATCGGGATATCCATACGGATAAACGGCAACGCTACCAGCTCCAGCAGATTGACCCCACAGGGTTATCCTCTTCGGGTCGCCGCCGAAATTTCCTATATTGGCGTAGACCCACTCAACACTATTGATGGGTTAGTCAACGATTCTAAGAGGTGACTGTTGTTGACTAACGCGAGTCTTTGATCCAAAAGCCCAACATTTTGATCTTCCAACCCCTTCGCATTCGGGAACCCAAAGACATTGACACGATAACTGATCAAGAGGTGTCAGCGGATACTTCGAAATCCAATCGCGATATAGCTTACTTCATAATAACAACAATATGGGATTGTGTTCGCTGGACCCACTTGTCAGGAATCTTGTACATAGATGCCTGGCCACCACTAGTAAAGCCACCTCCGGGAATATAGAGCAGAACCGGCAGTGGACCTTGTTGCGATTGAATCTTGTCAAGACGTGGTGCCCAAATAGAAAGATAGAGACAATCTTCAGAGTTCCCTCCACTGACTAGGAATTCCGACTCATATTCCGTGTAAATTGTTGAGGCACTGGTGTCAAATTGCTGCATGCAAGAATTGGGAAGCGAGAACGCCTTGATAATTCCCCCGTGCTGCTTTTTCTGTGGTCGGGCGAAGCGAAGATCTCCCACCGGAGGCTCTGCGAAAGGGACACCGAGGAATTGTCGAACATCAGGGGCCGTATGGTTGACGAAACCTTTGACGGACCCAGAGGTTGTTTCCACAAGTAGACCAGAGTCGGTATTGCTTCTAGGGCTGAGAGTAGGAACAGCGAAACCCCCCAAAGCAAGAGCCGCTAACACGGGGAAAGCGAGTAACTGCATCTTGAAGACCCACCAGAGATCTCTGCGGAAGAATTGACTCGAACGAATATTTCATCGGATTACCTTGGCAGTGCAGACCCTTTTATAGCCTGCCCCGGAGTTTTCTTTCTTTTTCGTGTCCATACTGAACGGCAAAACGTTTTTGTGCGGGATATTAGGCCCTGGAAACCAAAGCGGGGATCTGTTAAGACAATTTAGTGTAAAATATGATGAGAAATCCCAGGAAAAGCACTATGCCGGTGAAAGGAATCTCTGGCTAATCACTTTGTTAAGCGAACTGGCCCTATATTGCGGGAAAGTGCGGGGAAAGCTCCCCGGAAATGCAGGGCTTTCGCTTCCATGTGTCCTCGGCCTCCATTGGAAGGATATTCTCCTCTATAATGCATGCATGATGTGATATAACATTTTACCGGGACCCAAACAAGGGATGGAATATTGCTATGTCGGTAGATGCGTAGCGAACCCAAAGCTGACGACCCTGAAAGGCGGATGTCGATTGATCAGCAGGATCATCACTTAGCCCCGGGGTAGATTTGTGGGGTACATCTCCACAGCACAAGAGGTATTGCATATCGCCCTCGAGTTATCGTAGAATGACAGTGGAGTTTGACTTCTACCAAGGCAGGAAGTGATATCCACCCCCAAAAATGCTTTGATCAACCGTTTCATGAAATGCCAGCAAATGCCACCGTGGACGATGTTGCTGCAAAACACTCCTTACAAGAAGTGTGCAGGTTTGATGGGAATAACGATATGCTGGTGATTATCGGACATGATGCATCCATAACTGGGAAGATTGATTTATTCCCGGCAAATGTCAACAATTGGAAAGCTGAAGGAATGAAGGATAAACTATACTGGAGCTTTCTCGGCGATTTTGACAGCAATACAAAGGGATAAAGCAAGCATAGTACAGCACCAATTCCAACCAGAACCGACAATCTGTATTTAAGGACATTCTTTTATGTGCGCCTTGGATATTAATACTCGGATTTGAAAAGAAGATCATCTGCCGGATGTGGAGTAGGTGAATCAATCAGTGGGTCACGCCAGATCCAGTGTGGGTTCAAGGATCATCACTAGATGGGCTGTAGGGGCCGATTCCACCGAACAGTCTCAAAAGCAACTGGGAGGCATGTTGAATATATCCAATCATAAAAAATCCTCCAGGAATTTGGAGTGAAGGCATGTCTTTCGAGGGAAAGGAGACGGGGGGAGGTAGCCACATATCTGGTCTCAACGATGAACATTTACAGCGCAACAAAGTGGCTGAGCAAGAAACGTCCAAATTTACCACACTGACCAACTTCGTCCCCTTCCTTACAAAGCTGCAGAATAATTGGTGAGCATCATGGGAGAGCAAGACAATATGTATGACTCGAATACGTAGAACTTCATCATAGGCAATCACACCAACCCCAAATCTACTCTATACCACACTACGCCTTTGTAGTTGCCTATGGTGCATATCCGCAGTCCCAAATGTATTTCCCAGACAGTTTCGCTTTCCATCAAAACTCCTTAAGCCATGCTAACCCGTAATATCGTAAAGAGACTCGTCTTCGATCCACTGGGCTGGGTATCTTATGCGCTAATGCCGGGGAAGCAGTCGGCGAGGCCCTTATTGTGCTTGTTGGAGGCGTGCTCGAGGAGACTAGACCAAAAGATATTCGTTAGCAAGATGTAGTAAAAGCCACTATCGAGAGCGGTGTTCGTGGCGATAAGGGCGCGAGAAAGCGGTAGGCTGGGTATCACGTACGCAGGGGCCTTGGTGGTCTGGAGGAAAGTCTGCCTGCAGACCTGGCACTGAATGCTGCAGGCCTTCTCATTCTGGATATCGAATTTAATGTCAGCAACAGCAACCGGACAACAGAGTTGGAGGCATTGATTGCATGTGAAAGTGACATACGCTCTTGATCTGGGACTTGGCAGTCTTGGTGTCCTTCTGGTTGCGCTCGCGCTTCATTGTGGCCTTGGCTCCCTGTAGAATATTGTCAGTCAATCCCCACGTCAGCCGGAGGCTCTGAGGTGGAGCGCAGAAAGTTTTGCGACATCTGCTTCGTGCGCTTCGGATTTGGTCTTACGTTGCCCATAGTTGCGGTATGAGACTCGTGGTCTGTAAAAGAGTGGAATATGAAAGGATAAAATGCGACGGTTGTGTAGTTAGATGTCGAGGGAAATCTGTAATTTTTTGTAAAAAAAAAGTAAGAGCGGGTTATCTCCACGTGGGGCGGGATTCATGCTTACTCAGCAAACAAAAAATTTCCCCGCGCCAGTCCCGATTCAGTATACTTCGGATCAAGTAGGGGAGAATTTCATTGCTTCAGTGATATCTCTTTACGGAAAATATTGGGATTTGTACTAAGGATATCATCAATAAGAAATTGTGTTATTTATGTCTTGGCGCAAATACATGAGCCGAATCAGGCGTTCCAATCACTAAAATAATGTGACCTGTTACAATCTGTGTTGCACTTCACTTTCATTACAGGATTGGATGGCCTGAGCGAAAGCTGGTCAAAGAGAGATCATCATGATACCTGCAATCATAGCCGCAGCACAAAGCGTGACTGCGAGAAGGAGGCTACCCTGTACTGCATTTGGGTTCACCAAACTGGCAGCGGCTCCTTTGGAAGTGGAGGTCGCAGCAGTAGGGTGATTGGTAAGGGTCCCTGTTCCTGATGTACCGGCCTGTTCAATCAACTTCTTACAGTTCCCCGTGGCAATCTTGGCCGCTTTGGTCGTGGCCGCACCATTGAAATCGCAAGCGGGGGCGTTATGGGCATGGAAATAGCGATCGAAGACAAAGGACAGTTGATCGCGACTGGAGCAGACACTGTATGCACCATACTCTCCGGAAGTCGCGTTATCAGAGATGCCATCGCAGGCGCCCTTCGAACTCCCACAGACCTGCTCAAATAGCTTCCCGAATTCATGCGGGCCCACGTTGCTCTTAACGACACATCCCAGAGTCTCCACCATGCAGGAACATAGTTCCTTGTTTGGTGAAGGAGGAAGAGAGCTGGAATTTGCCCGCCAGATATTGTCGACAGTGGGACACGCATGAGGGGAGTTGGTGGGGGAGTAGCTGCCGCTGTTAATACCAGTCGGACTGGCACTTTCAATTGCCTTAGAATAATAGCTGTAGTCTGACTGGGCGCTGATGGAGAGGTGGTCTCCAGCGGAGACGAGTCCGTAATCGTTAGGAGTCTCGAAGTACATGTAGAGTATACCACCGCTCCAGACACTGTTCATATCGGAACCGAAAAGCACAGGCACGTCTTTGAACTTGCGAGGCTTGACAGTGTTGCACCCATATTCAGAGAACAAGACTGGAATTGAGTAGTTTCTGTATTCTTCTGTTCGGTCCTCGTAACCGGATGTCTTAAAACTGCTGTCTCCACAGAACTCGTAGATGTTGTAACCGAAGAAATCCACGGAGCTCGGTCGATCTCCGCAGTTGAGATAGTCAGAAAGCGATAGGCGGTAGTCCTTGTGGTCGGTGGTCGCATATCCAATTGCCAGTGATGTCCTATACCCCCTATCCTTAATGTATGCCTTCATGTCTCTCGCCGCAGCTTTGACGAAGGCCGCACCCGCAGACTGATTGGCATGGTTGACGACCTCGTTCCCAGCAAAAAAGCCGATCACATTGTCATATTGGTGTAACGCGTCAATAACGGAGGTATACCGATCGTATTGCTCCACTGTCCATGAAGGGGAGTCGGCAGTTATGGAAACATCGGGAGATGCCAGATCGGTGATGACATAAATTCCGGCATCGGCCAACATCTTCATACATTCGTCGTGGTTCAGCATCGGATCGATGGCGTAAGTGCGGATGACATTGGTGCGCAACTGGACGAGATAGGGAATATCACGGGCACAGTGAGAGGGGCTGACCAGAGGGTCGAGGTACTTGGTGGAATCGGAAAACCCGATTGTGTCCGTCCCTCGAGCATCATAATCCTCTGGTCAGTGGGTCAGCTCTAAGCTGACAACAGGCAGCCAAGTCAGTCAACATACCCTGGTAGGCTATTCCTCGGATGTAACTGATGACTGAGTTAGTATCAGCGAGTCTTGACGGGAAATATGAAAACTCACAATTGACTTCCGTTGTTAGAATAGAAGAACTTCGAGCCCTGTTTGATGGTCAGCGAGTTCATGCGTCCAGTGTTATGAGCACCCACTTTGATCTCAATCTGCGGAACACTCGACTGGCTGGAAGCTGCTTCCACCAGTCGCAGAAAGGCTGCTGCAAGGATGAAGCACGTAATCATTTGGAATAAGAGATTCGTAGCCATCTTGTGTTGGTAAGAAGCAAGATGGCAGATACCAAGAGACGGGTGAGATGATGAAACAGTCCGGGCAGTGTAACTCCAAGAAATCACGAAGTGACGAGGGGGGAAACAAAACAAAACTAAACTAAACTAAAGGATGTGATATTTGGGTAGATTCGACGATGGTGAGGAAACAGCAACAAACTCTTGAGAGGCAAGTGCAACTGGGATGGGACCCAATACATCTGCAACCCACCAACACGATTTCTATAATTTTTACACAGAGACATCCCAGACCAGGTACATGTTTGTAGAGACTTTAGCATTGCCTAGTGTACGTTGACTTTACAACAGAGGTCATCAATGTGTATACAGTGGCATTAAGTATTGGACAGTCTATACACTGAAGCCTCGAAGTGAGTATGCCGTCTTATACATCGCTTTCGCCTCTTTTTCGCCCATTTACCAGTGCCCCAGGTTGATCATATATATTATATAACGGTGAGGGTGTGAAAAGTCTTATAACCCTGTTATAAGTAGACTGCCTCGCCATAATAAGCTTGGTAGACCATCTACCTGGGTACCACCGCATTGTAAACATTCTAGTTACTGCTCGTACATTGTGTATGCCCTAGGAGTAAACATAACAAGCTCTACCCGTAAATTCTATTGACGGTGTTAGTGGTAAAGGTATCCACAGCCCATGAGGCACTAATCTGGCAAAATATCTAAGAGGCTGGATGAGAGAGAGATCTAGATACCTCGCTACACAATTTTAAGCGACGGAGGGCTGATGGATCAGGTATATCAAACACAAGCATAAGCCAACAGACACTACCCCTGTGGCACAGAAAAAAGGCATAGAACTTAAAGATCTCTGCTTTGACGTCCGCACCTGGCTCCTACCACTGAAATGCACGAGACGATTTTGAAGAGAGAATACCAAGAAGAGACTTTCCTCATTCTTATTCGTCGATATTTTCCAGCACTATTAAGGGATGGTTGGAAGGGATGCCGAGTTCACTTTACGACAACAGTCTCTTCTTCCCGTATATTGAAACGACGTCTATTACACTATACTCTAGATAACATGGTCTAGTTTAGAGAAATTAGCGATAAGGATCCCGGTCAGGTCCATCTCCAGGTGCTTTTAAAATGCACCAGTAACAGGAGCGCCATCAAGCTTGAAGTAACCCGGCTGGAGCCCGCGCTCGGTATAGATTTGCCCTGAGGCTGAGTTTTACCATCCCTGTATGGTGCTTGAAGCTGATTCGAGGGAAGTCGTCGGCAGTCGGCCCCCACTAGATTGCTGCAGCAATGTGTGATAGAACTGGTAGAAGGAGCTTATATGGATGTTGGGCGTCCCGCACTACCCTTCAAGTTTCACGCGCAGTCAGTGATGTGAGCATCTCCGGAGGGCAATTCTGGGCCCCAAACAATCAAAGAAACCAGGATCGCTTTGATCGTGCTAACCTCACTTGTTGTGGGCACGCTAGCATCTATTTAAGGAGTAAGAGGCAGTAGGTGATCCCGCGGCTTCTTCCCTCTCTTCTTGCCTCTCTTCTTGTCGGAGATTGGCGGGGGTTCGGGGTCCTTGAAGCCGTGTAAAATTGGCAGTTCGTTCGCTCACGGTGGGACGGGACAGGGTGCAAGCCCCCCATTTTCCTACTTCTGGTAGCAAATACCGGTCAGCGGAGGGGATTGGTGGTAGGGGCGGTTCCAGAAAGTATAAAAAAGGACTGGATTTAGGTCCAGGAAGGCCTTAAACGAAGGGTAAGATCATGATACGGACTTTACGCTAACCCGACTGCGATTTACATGTAGTTGTATTACAGCTCCTTACTGCATACCGACATACTAAAATTCCACTGGACTATTGTCCAGCCGGCGGATCGGGGGAGATCCCGCCCACGGCACCCCTTCCTCTTGCCCGGTCTTATAGGAAGGTCAAGAAGCTCTAGTCTTGGATAGCAGTGCTAGATGAAATACAATTACTGAACCTTCCCTAATCAGGGTTGATTGTTGCAGAGGGGTGTTATTTTAACATTACACTAAAAATATCAAAGGATGGCAATAGATTGTTACACAAAGCTTTCATTGAACAAGTCTCTTTTTAATGCTTCCTCAAATGCGTCATCCACAACCCTATTTAGAAAACTCCGAATGTCTAAAGCGTTTTGATTTAGGTTTTATCGCGATTAGTAGAATTTATGCTCAAATTTAGTGATTTGTATCGGTAGGATAGTCGTAAATATAGATGTTAAAGACGCCTATAGGCGTTGAAATGGGGCTCGCTAATTTTTTCTTTTCTAAACCATCTGGCCGTCCTTAGGGCGAATGAGCTTGTCAGACCGCTGAACCGTAGCATAGCTCGATCTTACGTGATCTGACCGCAAAGGACAAGAGGTATGCGTGTGTCTGAAGCGGAGGGAAGCATTGGTCCTGAACAATGGGTATCTACGCAGTGCCAGCCAGTGTTGGTCTTCGGACACGATCGGATTCTTTGTTTCTCTATACTGCAATAATTTAGTTCCTTGGATGACCGAGATATTATAAAGGAGGAAGCATTGTATTGTTCGGGCAAAGTCCCTTTGTTTTAAATTGGCATTGTCTCAATGTCCAGTCGAGTTGAATGTCAAATATAGACTATTTTCCTTTGTTTCTCTATTGTTAGGCTCCGGTGACAATGAAAATAGCAGAAGCCCTCTCGAGTATTTATGTCCGAGAAGCATCCTACCAATTCAATGTTCGTTCTCAAGCATCAAGCATTCTAGGACGCCACCGCACACAATACAAAACTTACTATTACAATAGCCTATCATGACCAGAAAAGGATACAAGAGGGGGGAGAGAGAGATTTGTTAATCGATTGCAGGATGGTGTCAGGCGAAGGGGAGAAGCCAGGCTTCTTGACGAACTCAGCGTCACTGGTAATAATATCGCCCTGAATGCGATTCTAAACGTACTCAGATACATCTTCTCCCTAGTCGTGCCGCTCGAGCCCTCGGATCGACCGATGATGCTTAGGTCCAAGAGTATACGCGATGATATAAGAGCCCACATTCACCGTCGACTTTACTTGTTCCCAGCAATAATTGCGAATTATGTAGCACCCACACCAGAAGCAGGTGTTGAGGATGTTCTTTATCAATTGCTCGCAGGTAGACTTCAGGAGTTCATTGATCTACACACGCGAGGTCTACTTCTGCAGGCACTACCAACCCAGCCTCCAACCCAGGCACCGGCTCAGCCTCAATATCAGCCGTTTCGTCAATTCCAGGTACAGCGCCCAGTCGGCACTGAACTGATGGGCCGGCTCCAACCCGTGCATTCGCTTCAAAACAACCCATTTAGTGAATACCAGGCACAGGTTCCAGCCCAGCCGCAAGTCCAGGACCAGCCTCAAATCCAGAACAAGCCATATGGATATACTACTTTCGTAGCAAACCGTTCACGCCAATCTGAGGCCCAGGATCAGCCTCAACCCCAGCTGCAGCCTCTTCCCCGTCCGCAGTATCAACCCGCACGGCCGTCACCCAAGCGGCAAAGGAGCCCAAGTCCAGCGACCGGTTCAAAGCGACCTAGAACAGATAAAACAGATGAAGCCCCTCTACCCGTTAAGACTAAAGCTCCGACCAGCGCAGTTGACCCAGATATAGATCCCGCCTTGAAAAACTATGTAAGCCCGCTTGCTACGAATGAGCAACAGACACAACAACAGCCGCAACAACAGCCGCAACAACAGCCGCAACAACAGCCGCAACAACAGCCGCAACAACAGCCGCAACAACAGCCGCAACAACAGCCCGAAGAAGAAGAGGACTTCGAAACATCACCCCAAGAGCAGGCATACTTAAGGCAGTTGCTTGAATCTCAGAAAGTCCAGCAGGTGGCGGGAGAGCAACCCGAAACCCCCACTGCTGCGCAACCGACGCAAGAAACTGGCCGCACAAGAAGAGGAATTGGGAATGTCATACGGAAATATGATGCTTTTACAGCAGTCCAATGCCACTGATGGCCAACAAATGGAAGTAGGGCCAGTTACCACTTGGACTAATGTGCAACAGACACAAGGACAGGTCGGGCAGCAACCTGAGCCGAGATTGTCACCTCAAGAAGTGACATCTTCAGAGCAATTCAACACCTTTACTAATGATCAGCAGAGCGAAGAACAGACAGACGAGCCGACGGATAAGCAGATGGACGATCCAATGGACGAGACGATGGATGAGCCTATGGACCAACAGATAGAAGAATTGACCGAAGAACAGATGCAAGAAGCAGCGTATGAAGAGGAGTTCAACGCCCTGATGAATGTGGACGAGATGGAAGAATAGGCCGAACAAAAGGTCAACTGAAAACGTAAAGTCTTTAGGACATGTCTCTATAGCAACCATTCTGTGATTGTCTTCTTTGTTAAACTTTTTGCATATTATGGAGTATAGTGATTTTCGGCGGGTTGTCAAGTTAAGATGAAAATTTTGTTTTCCGTTTCAAACAATTGAAATCTCGGTCTTTCACGATATAAAAGTAAAACATTGGTAGAATGTATCGATAAATTGATGTATTATAGCTGACCCATTGAATGACTGATCCGCCGCCATAAAGCTACTGCTTTGACTTGACGTATGCATTCTTGGGATGCTGTATTGGCGGGCGTGTAGGAACTAAGCCGCCTCGTTTTGTCCCGGCTCTCCAGCTGAGAGTACCCTTTTTTGGGTCTTTTTGCTATCACGTAGGACAAAAAGTTGAATGATAATGACACCGAAAATTGCTGCGATGACCAATCCAAATGTTGCTGGGAATCCGTAGCCTAGAAATAAAATGTAAGCTATGCATTCAACCTCAACCAAATCCGCCTGGAAACGGAAACGAATTCGACTTACGAAAAGTCGGCGCCATCGTCTGCGGGAAAATCACAATGGGTAGCCAGGCAGCCACAGCGTACTGAAAACCATTCATGCTACTAACGACAACTGCTCTTTCTTCGTTATTGTCGGCACATACTTCATTGGCCCAGGTGTAACTGGCGAAGATCAGGCGAAGTCAGCAAGCCTTACGGTCTACCTGGTGGAGGTAAGGGGATTCAACATACAATACGGCTGTCATAAGCTGGACATTCGTCGTTAGGAATGCAAACTCTTTAAGGGGAATGCTCGATGGCCATGCAGCCAGAATGCCATTTGGAATAAGTCCGAGAATCTTTGGGACACACTTTCTTTAGCAATATTTCTATACACCGTAGTGTAATCTTAGTGCTTAAGGGACTCACAAGGGGTATGATAACCAAAGCAAACCTACTGCCTGTGTAGTCTGAGAGGAACCCCCAGAGTACAACGCAGGCCGCTCCAATTAAAGAAGTTCCAGTTGGGATGATGTTTCGATCGACGACCGAGAAACCCTCCGATTTGAGCCAGATGGCAAAGTAGCTGCCACTACCGCATGATGATCCGTATAGCTATTGCATGTATTAGCCAAGCGGTATCCTCCGCCTTGAAACATGGAAAAGAAAAGGCCTTACCACATATCCTAGAACGAAAGCGTACCATTTCCACGAGCTGAGAATTCTTTTAAATGTTCCCATATTTATGTTCGCCGGTGCTGCCTTTCCGGCTTTCCGAACTCGTTCTTCAGCGAGACCGCGTTCGCTCTTCGAGAGATACCAGACACGTGTGGTAAACGGAGTGTCAGGAAGCAGAAAGTATGTCGCAATTCCGACAGGGATGGTCATGCACTGCAGCTTTCCTTGTTAGCATAGACCATGGGATTCAAGCCTATTTTTGAGTTCACTAACCCCACAGACAATGTAAAGCCACCTCCATCCAGCCAGTCCATGAGCCTCATTGAGATTTTTATACACTGCCGCCTGTAGATATCCGCCAAAGGCGGAGCCTAGCGGTGCCGTCATATGAAACAGGGCAACCCTCTTTGCTAGTTCTGTCTTCGTATACCAACTACCCAAGACATACAATAGCACAGGAAAGAATGAACTTTCGAAAAACCCAACGAGAAACCGAAAGGCATACAGCTCACCAACGTTGTGCATTCCAGCCTGTGCAAAAGTGAAGATAGCCCAGCCAACCTCCATCGCGGCAAGCCAGATGCTAGGTCGGATGCGTTGGACAATCAGAGTGCTGGGGATTTGCATGGCGGCATAGGCGACGGTGTAGGCGGTGCCAGCGTATGTATACTCATTTCCGTACATTGAGAGATCTTCCTGTAACCCTGATACATAAGCATTTGAAAGGTTACCCTGGTCTAAATATTTCATGAAGAACCCCAGACAGCCAATGCTGAGAATTGCAGCATCGAGCTTGAGCAGCAGTCGGCGCTCCTCGGGTGACTTCAAGTGAGTATCAGTATCCCAGATGAAGGATCGAAACGAACGGCGTGGTAGCTGGGAGTTTGATTGGCTTTCATGGTCGGGATTGTATTCCACAGCAGAGGTCGTTTGGCCGACTGTTTTTATCCCCGCCATATTGAGTCGCGTCTCGAGATGAAGTGCTCCTTTTGCAAGTATTCACGACTCAAATGGGATGATAGGGCCATGTTGATATAAAAATGCTACCCCTCAGAATGATCCCTGCCTCATCACGACATCTTCACCTGATAACGTATCATCGTCCGTGTTCGGCTATATCCCCGTTGGTGCGATAATGGCGCCAGATTTAACATGCAGCCTTGGATAAGTTGGAGTATCTACCATTGGTGCCAAGAGAAACGCTTTGATTGTAACCCCAAATGAGGGAGACTTGGATAGGCCATGCTGAAACCAACGGATCCATAGCTTATATCTCGATAGATAGTTACTGGAGAGCAGGTAAAAATGCACAGCGAATATAATTCCATAGTACCACTAAGCTATACAGCGGTTGTGTTCAGTATTGGATGACACAACTTCCACAGCCTTCAGTCAAGCGGTTGAAAAATCGACCTATTCTTCTTTTGTCTGCTCTGTAACACAAAATTCTTCCCAGACTTTCTTAATATCATTCTTATAAATGAAATCCTTGTCCCCATACAAAAAGCTGTCGATCTTGTATTGTAAAATGGCATCGAAATCTTCATTTTCCGCTTGGAACTTCTGTGTTCTGCTTTTGCTCTCGTCCAGGTTTTGATACCTTCGTAGAGTGGAAAATTAGTTGTTAGACTAGATCGGCAGTTTGCTAAAAGCACGAATCCCAAATAGAACTCACATCTTATTGTAATAAGGAGAACGAATCGATTCAAAGATCTTAAGGGCGTCCCGTGCATGATGGGAAGTGAACCGTGTCCGCTCAAGTGCGCGAGCGAGAATCCAGCCATCTTCCATAGCAAATGTCGCTCCAGAGCCAAAGGCGCCTATGAATGTGTGAATGACCTTCCACAATGAGTTATACTTTTTGAAGACTTGGAACCTACCGGACAGAGGATGACTAGCATCTCCAATAAGAACAATTTTATCCCATCCAGTGATCTTCTCCAGACGAGGACCTGCGAATGTTGCAAATTCCCTCCACTCTCCTTCGGCTACCATGCTGACAGCATCCCTTATCCTTTGATCAAAGGTCTATTTAGGAGGTTAGAAAAAATGATCTTCGAGTGACTTAAGGGAGGAATAGTTCCTCCAACCTTAACACGGGATGCCACTTTCGCGTTCGTCGCGGGAATGCCCCAGGAAACCGTTTCTCCTGGGATCTCAGGCTCTCGATATGACCGTACAGTGATTTCGAAAAGTGCATTCTCAGTCTCAGTCTCATCATCTACGTCCGAGAGGTAAACATGGCCAGCTTCTCCCCACCACCATGATGTTGTGGGCGTAATATCTGGAATATGAGACAGGCGTGATCTAGGAACAAGGACACGGAATGCAGTGTTTCCTGTGAAGGAAAGCTGATGATCAGGAAACAGATGTCTCCGGACAATCTAGGGTTTTTTGATCAAGTTAGTCAGTCATACAGGCGAAACCGAAGAAAAGAGGGTTCACAAACAGAGTGTATTCCATCAGCTCCAACTACAATGTCCGCGACAACATCTGTTCGGTCTTGGAACAACAACCGTACACCATGACCTGGTACATCTTCAAGAGACACAAGCTTCTTGCTGTATTGAATGACCCCGTCAGGCACCTTCGCCAAGAGAGCTGACTGTAGCCGGGTCCTGCGAGCTCGAATTGCTCCACGGTGATCTGCCGCAGAATTTTCCGGATTTTGCATAATGCTAAGGACCTTCCCTGTATAGGCATTTCTAGTGGTTGTCAGACATGGGAATGAGGTTCCCCACGAGCTCCGAAATTAACACTCACCTTTGATGTGTGTTTGACTTGGAGCCTCCCTTGACCATATCACTTGCTCCTAGTAAATCAAGCACTTTCCACGCATTTGAGCTTAGACTGAGTCCAGCTCCAGCCTCTCTTGGCTCTGGGTTTTTCTCATAAAGAGTAACCCGTAGGAATGGAAGCTGGGAGAGAGCGACGGCGGTTCCAAGTCCCCCAGGGCCACCACCAATTATAGCAACAGAAGTTATCTCTTTGCCACCCATGTTTGTTATATTTGTACCTTTCTTAATGAAAATATTTCGAGACTTCCTATAGATGTGGAAGCGACAAATGCTATATTTCTAGGTGGTGGGCCGGACAGACCGGCTGAATGAGCACATCGCACGCCATACTACGCTCCGAACGTGCCATGCGCTACTAGTGCCGCGAATTAATTCTCACAATGATTGGTCCTGGAGATGAGTTATCGGGGCATGAGCATATGATACTTGCCGCCATCCACGAATTATAGCATCATGCTCAATGCCGACTTTGAGTTATCTAGAGTCATATAGGCCAGAGAGATCGCAAATCGTAGGAGTCTTCAGTAATGGGAGATCGATAGAGAGGCGCACAGTTACCAGCACTACGACGGTAGACCGGGACCCTCAACTGTCTTGTCGATGTACCATGAGATAAGCATTGACGCAATTGTATTCCACCGTTGATATCAGTGATTGGACGTCACATCATGTCCTGCCACCTCTGGGGTACCTACTCATGTTAGTCTGACTATGTTGAGACGTTTCAACTCCTCCTGGAATTATCTACCATATATCCCCACACCCTAATTGAGTATTTAATGTGCTTTGGATAATACGAGACAAAATTATATCCGTTCTATTTCAAAGTTTGGAACTAGGTTGGATTTCTTCTGCAGTTATCTCAGAAGATAAAGGTAAATGTTTTTATGGTACAACATCTAGCTGATGATAACTTGCAGGGGGGGATTTCATATAATCACACCTCCAGAGGCTTTATCACCCGATTTCCTTTATAAGGATTCAAAAGCAGCGTTTACATCCAATAATATCACCATCGAAAGTGACGACTGGAGAAAATTGTCTTCGGCGCAGACAGAGTTAAAAATCGACATTCACAACGCAAATTCATTGGAGTATTGCTGCTCTTATTCACCAAAAGTTCATCATTTCTAACCAAGCTAACACAATCCAGCTTTTCTCTCTCATTTAGGAAAGAACTCTCGTGCGTCAGGGCAGAAAGAGCAAAGACAAATGTGAGCTCCCGAGGGGACAGCACTCGGCGGCAGTGACAGAAGCTTTGCAGAGACAGCTGAGAACATTGAGGAGGACAACTGCTCGAGCGTTTAAAAGACCCCAGCGTCCCCAAAAGCACTGGAGATGGGTCTTTTCTTAGCCTCGATTATATAAGGCCTTCCATTTTTCTCAGCTAGCTGCCATTCGCCCAAGGCCACCCCAATCTATTTCCCTCGATGCAGCTCAATCTGAGCAAAGATGATTGGAAAGAGCATGAGGTATGATGGGCGTCCTCGAGTACTCTTTCTCTCCTCTTTGCATCAGTCACATACACCGAGGTTGCAAAATAGCCGCTTATTCAGTTAATGTCCGGCCGGCCAGATTCACTACCCAAGTCACTCAGCATTGGTGGCAGAGAAAATTGGTCGCGTCTAGTGAATGATAATCAGATCGGAAAGACCCCCTTGCATGAAGCTATCTTGCACCGCCATATAGCCTTGTGGCTACCTTAATCCAATGAGGAGCAGATATCAGTGCTATCAATAGCTCAGGAGAAACATCCTTGTATACTGCCTCTAAGTTCTGACTCAATTGCGAGATTACTTCTTGGCCGAGGCACAAGTATTCACTCTAAGTTCTTGCCTGCAGGACTGCCCTTCATGTCGCCGTTCAAGTGGAAGGCATGAGGTGACTGTCACCCCGCTAGATCGTGGAGCGTCTATTAATGAGGTCATTGGGTAAGCCGCTGGTTTAATTGTCGCACTGCGAAGCCTAAACCTCGCACTATGAGGGGACTCGGACTCCTAGGATCGCTTACTAACTTAGATAAACGCACAGAGAGGTGGTTATTTCTTGTGATTATTTACCTTATAACAGATCAGGCTTCCACAAATGGGCTCACGTTATGAAAATTGTTCAACAACCGGTTTAGCACGGAATATGCTCCTCAAAGTTGAGGGGTAAACGGGTCTTAGAAATAGATGTAACGCTACGCGGATGGAAGTGCATCTAATGGCTGTTCCATTTGGCGATGATATTTCCATTCGATGCCGACAATCCGCGGGTGCCAAGTAGGGCGAGACTTCTTGCAGTGCTCTATTTCATTCATTGGCGGGAATTTTGATGTGACTTTCCGGGTTGGCTGTGGATGCTTGCGATCCTAAATAGTCTTGAATTAAAGTCCGATATGCAACCCCCACGTTGAATCGTGGGGTAATTTGTATTTCTCTGCCTTCTTGTTTACCTGGGCTCGTGCGTCCTGACCCCGCTCTCAAACTAACTGTGAATCTTCGGCAAATGAAGTATTAATCGATTGTTATATAACAATCTCCAATGACCTCAAGGAAAAGACCATCCAGGTTTACGCACAATTTAACCTTGCCTGAATAGTATCAGAGGCCCGGGTGCCTAGTATACTAATTGTGGTCAAGCCTTCAAAATGAAACTGAATATCTTACCTTTCCTTTCAGCCCTGTCTATGGGTCTTGCCTTGCCTTCTGATGCACCATCAAGGCGATTCGACCAAAATATAGGGATTGATCTCCCCGCGTTGTTCTCGGAAACAACTACAGCGAAGATCTGGCGTACTGCGGTGGATTCTATCAGTCAGGTATGTTTATCATTCTTGTTTAATACAATATGTCGGGGTACTGATGCATTGCACAAGCTCCCGGGGAAATTTCCGAATTACGTTCCCAGTACCGGGTCGAATATTGGACAGTACGTCTTCAGCGACATCTCTGCATGGACGAGTGGCTTCTTTCCAGGCTCCTTGTACGAGCTCTTAGAACGAAGTGTACGATTCCCTGATCATCTGAAGACCGGAAGCGTTGACCCAGAGGACATCCATGATCAACTTCTCGACCTTTCGCGCCAGTGGGCCAAACCCCTGCAGACACAAGCCTTCCGGACTAACACCCATGATCTGGGCTTCCTCATTATGCCAGCTTTTCAAAAAGACTGGGAACTGACGGGAAATCAAGATAGCCTCGACACTATTGTCACGGCGGCCCACAGTCTAGCTACGCGTTTCGACCCTCGAGTCAAGGCAGTGCGGAGTTGGGACTCACTTGTTAACAAGCGCCAAAATATCACGAATAAGGAGACCAACTTTTTGGTCATTATCGATAGCATGTGTAGTAAGTTATTGAGCCCGTCTGCTTACTCAGGACTGACAAGTCAGACATGGACCTGCTCTTTTATGCAGGCCACCACACCGGAAATCAAACGCTGATTGACATTGCTACGGCGCACGCACACACGGTCCGGCGCAATATTGTCCGCAAAAATTACTCGACCTTCCATTGTTGTAATATCGATCCACAAAATGATCAGATCAAGTTTCAAGAGACTGTCCAGGGATACAAAGACTGGTCAACCTGGAGTCGGTAGGAGATCGTTCTTTCTCTCGGATAAGCAGACGGCTGACGTTTTATTAGGGGTCAAGCTTGGGGAATCCTAGGCTATATCCAGACATATCGGTGGACTAAAGATGCTGTATTTCTGCAGACAGCTATAGGTCTCGCCGAGTATTTCGTGAATCGACTCTCCAAGTCGTCCCACACTCACCCATACGTACCTCTCTGGGACTTTGACGCGCCCACGGTCGATGGTGTGCTCCCTCCTCGGGACACTTCCGCCGGCCTTGTGGCTGCAAATGCTCTTCTTCTGCTCCACCAGGCTCTCCAAGGCGAGTCGCCGTACTTGGACCACGCCCTGCAAATAGTGAGGGAGACCATTGACCTGTCTTTATCACATGATCCGGCGAGCCTGACGCTCAGTCCGAATGGGAAGACAGCTGTTCCCGCCGGCAATTGGGACTCCGTCTTGATGAACGCGACAATAAACAACAATGAGTACTCTCTCAGTCGGAGCAACAACACTGGTCTGGTGTATGCCGACTATTACTTTTTGCGGTTTGGGAACAGGTTACTAGAAATGGCATTTGCATGAAACGTTGCAGGGGAGGAAGACGGATATAAAGTATTCGAATATCACGCTAGTAAGAATAGTGAGCAGAATGATGAGCGTCTTTATAAACGTAGCCCAAAGCTAGATAGAGATTTTTATAGCACCAATTGAAGCCACACAAGTGGTAAATTGGAGACGGATATTTTATTAGGCGTGATGCTCATTGGTGTCAACATAAAACATAGGCTTGTCTATTGCCCCTTTGGGAAGCCCAGCCCGCTCAATCTGTGCATGAGATCATCCCCAGGGCAAAGTGCTTAACCTTCTTTTGTTTTGACTTGGATAACACGCTGCCTATATTTATTTTAAAGCAATGAGCACAATCAAGAGCGCCATTATTAAATGCAATTATTGTATTGAATCATATTTCACTGTGATCATGTCCATTTATACCATGAAGATCTTCCCGATATTTCCGAACGCCGAACGCAGTCACATTCTACCTTACAGCTTTTTTTCCTGAACATATATTTTAATCTTTGATCATGATAGTATGACGTGCTGAAGATCCTGGGCGAGTAATGAGTGAACAGCAGAAGTGGGATGATACGAATCCCACCATAAACACCCATTCCCAATACAGCTAGTATCAGCATCAAATCCATATCCAGTGGGATGATTAAGTATTTCCGTGAAAAATGACCACGAATCATACAATGAAGTTGATGACTATTGATCATTATCAGGTCAGTCTTCTGCTGTCTCCCTAGTGATCCGGGAATTGAATTCAGTAAGGCCATAACTCACATGCGGAAATCTTTTCTGAAACTTCCTTTTCTCAAGGGCCAGTCTGTTATTGAATTTCTCTACCATGACCTGGTGGGCGTTCCGGTGCCACTCGTCCTTTTTCAGGTACGTTGGTGTGCGACTCACGGGTGGCACGTTAATCAGTAAGAAACGACGGGCTCCACAGTTGTACATAGTCTCAGCCAGTTGCAAATGTCGCTGAAAAAGATAAGTCAAAACTTCATCGGTATCATCTCGCTCGTAGGAAAATGCTATGCTGTCAATCAATTGGGATTAGCGAGTGGCTGGTGGATAGAAGTCCAAGTTGAGAGGCAAACACACTCATTGATTCCGATCCAAATGGCGAAAAGAGTATCTTCTGAGTTCCATTCTTGTGGATTCTCGTCATCCTTGCAGTATCGCTCGCCAAATTCAGTTTCGACTTGGTAAACAAGGTCATGTGGCACAGCGGACACAATATTGTTGTCAATCGTAGCGCCATATACAGCCAAATCATAGGCTAAAAGCAGACTGGTGTTGTAAACAGCCGCTGTATAGCCCACCCAATTGAGCCCATTGGTCGATGTGCCCTGGCCAAGTACTGGATTGCCTAGAGGATCAGACAACGATGGCTGTGGTCCAGATGTATTGAAGCCGGTGCTTGTATAGGAGTCGCCGCTGCATAGCCGTTTTCTCAGGTCAGCGAATTTATTAACACATGCTACACACAGGGTCTGAGCAATTCGTGACGGACAATACAAATAAGTTCTTAATACCAACATGCGGCTGCGCCAAGACAGCTTGGACCGCGAGGCCAACCGAGGGTCGCATAGTGAAGCTGAAAAAGCGAACTCTTTGAGAAAAAGAATCTTCATGGGTGTTGCAGAGCCAGCACGCCGGAATGAGAAAAATAGGGGGTGTTCGTTAGGTTTTTCAGCCCTGAGTTTATTCATTAATTTGTGTCACCCCTAGCTTCGTGCATCAAATAGTCATGGAGAAAATATGACAAGGGGGAGCACTCCGCCTTTAGAAAAATCCAAGTCTTTGAATCACAATCCTTTGTCATCGAACCAAGACAGCTGCGGGTTGCTTTGTTTGCTCGTTTCAAGTCCATTGAGGTAAACGTTGAGTATACGTTTCTGCCTTGGGCATGAAGATATCCCCAGCTTGGAAGGAAACAAACACAAGAGTATTCTTAGCCACAATAATTAAAGAAGAGCATACGTTGATTGATTTTCGTAGAGCCTATCTAGTATTATTGATCGTGGCATATTTGCCGCATACCGCAACAGCGCTCCGAAATCGACTATCTGGATCATGCATCTCCTCCGGTGTGGGAACCTTTTTGATCACTCGAGCCGGTGTTCCCACTACAACAGGGTATGGTGGTATGTCTCTTGTCACTGTCGAGCCTGTTCGAAGGTAGACCCCTTTTCAATCGTACTCCGTGCGTGATAATGACATTTGCATCCAGCTAAACATCATCCTCGATGTATACGGGAAGCCCAAACTCAAGGAAATTTTGCCGTGATAGAACGCTTGTCTCATGGCCAGCAGATCCTGCGACATACGCGATGGGCTCCTGGTATATATCTCTTCAATCTTCTTCCAATGATAGCTTTTATGATTTATCTTACCCATTCATCGGCAGCCAAAAGTTCAGCGACGGGTTTGCAACGTCGCGTCCACATGTCCAAGCTTGTGGCTCATCGTCAGTGCCACGGACGTAATAATGCCAATCCCTAAGATTGATTGGAAACTCTTCAGGCATATATCTCTTGTACGGCTTCTCTTCAGGGACGAAGTACTACATGAACCATCCATTGTTGAAGAGGGTTCTGAATATCTCTAGTATTTCGCAGAACCTCCCGAAATGGTGCGCGTGTCTTTCCATATGCTCTAGGAAACTTTGGGAATCTTCAATATTACCTGCCCATTCCGATGGAATAAACCGTTTGCAGTTGTTAGACCTAAGGCAGGCTTTGAGGATCACTGTGCATATTGATGTAGTCATTGTCAGGGCATCGGACAAAAGATATGAGGTCAAAAACAGTTACCGAAAACAGTGAGGCCTAGACATGGGACTTGCATTGCTAAGAAAGCACCTCAAAGCCAATTTGGCGCCTTTTAACGGCGCAGGTTTAGACAATTCTGACCACAACCTCGACACCTCTTTTATTAGATATAGCTACAGACATAGCAAATAGAGATGCGAGATCGCAATTGAACTTATTATCATTGCAAAGAGAGCATTTTGTTGGCAACTGTGCTCTATAGATGCGGGAGTGTGCAGTTAAGAAGGCACGAGAGGTTTGACCTGCGCCTTCTCCCAAGTCAACCCAAAAGCAAAGGGCAGCAGTCACGGCAAACCTCATCTCGTAAATATTCTTTCAGTAATGTTTTTTCTTATATGTCCTCGTCTTTATAGACGATCTGTCTCTCCCTCCAATTGTGACCGATCTCAAGAGATTGAGCAGGCCCCGGTGCCGCAAGGCAAGGTTCCCATGTCTGGCTCTGGCGAGTCCTAACTGACATTGAGTTATTGCAGAGCCCACAGGAACGAGCCCTGCCCACCCTCAAGACCCGAAACGAATATCTGCAAGCATTTCGCGCAGGCTGCGGCGTCGGTTCTCCAGAGAATCGAGACAGTCCTCAGAACTCCGCACCATCTTTCCGTTCGGGATCAAGCCAAAGCCAAGTACACCCAAAGCTACCACAGAGATGTCAGTATTTGGGGACATGGGAAGCAGTCTAATGAGCGCACGGGGGTATGACAGTGATGCTCAGTATATTGGGACTCCACGGCATCTCGAGCCTTTAAGCACATCGCCCAATAGCCCAGCTTTCCGCGGGATGGAGTTGGATGACTTGATAGAGCGAAGCCGCGAGCGGAATGACTCAGAGCTTTGGACTGACAACAGAGTCCAGACTCGTCCGAACGGTCCTGGGCCTCCATTTGGCATGCATTTTATACCCACTCCCCCAGGAAGTATGAGAGGTCAGCCCCGAGGAGCTCATGCTAAACCTTCAACGGGGGGAACAAGCAGTCAGTCTGTTCCGTCACTCGGAAATGGCCGATCTGATCACCGAGACGCCTTCACTAAATCTCTTCCAAGCCTCCACCCCAGCCAAGAAATTGCGTCAAGTCAAGAGCATCTGCGGGCTCGGGATGGCGTTGTGGGTAGAAGTGGTGAGAACCTTCAGAGCCTTGTGGCTGATTGGGCCCAATATCTGGGAGGGAACCCCCAAGGCTACCGCACGGCGTCTTCAGGGTCTGTATACAACCAACCACAAGAAATATTGGTTTCCAAAAGAAGACAGCAACCGGGCTCTCAAAGAACAGTTCATGAAGTTCGAGCACCGCGTTTGGGCGATATGGGTATCTCGCAGAGAGTCGCGGGGACAGACATGGGGTCCGGACAGACATCAACCAATCCATCCATGTCAGATCTTGCGCATCCAAAAAGATACGGTTCGCTCATGGCGTCCCAAGAAAATGTGCTATCATCTGCAAAGTCAGGAGCATCAACAATCGTTGGTGTCGAGGCTCACAAGCAGGCAATGCTTCACAAACGTGATGCCTCCTCTTTCTACTCACGCCAAAGCAGCAACCCTTCAGGAGAGGCATCCCCAGTCGCCCAATCACTCAGAGCTTGCGCGGAAAATTCCAGAGGCAATATGCCAATCATCCATCAAGATATGCGTGATAAGGCTCCTGTCATCGACAACAAGCAATATATGAGAACCGAGTTGCCGAAGGGCAGATTCGTTGAGCAGTTTGGGGATAGCAACTTGACATTGGTCCAGGATCAAGACATGTCCAGTGAAATGGCAGGACAGCGCAAGGTCAGTCCGGGGTGGATGACTGGAGGCCGGCGAATGGGGTACGGATATACTATGGTGGACAACGCTGAAAGAGAGCCATCGCATATTGATGGAACCGACAGTCCACTCCCAAACGGGGGTTGGCGCAAGCAGACCCCAGAACCGACACCTAGTAATGTCCAAACGCGGGAGACGAACGTGTCTCTCCAGCATCGAACCGACATGGCAAAATCAACTCATTCCGGTTCCCCAGAACAGGGCTTCATCTGCCATTCTCCTGATAATCACCGCTTGTCCAATCCCAAAAGCCCTACCAAGGCCTTGGGTGAGCCCATTTTAACGCCGGATTTGTGGGCAAGGATGAAAAGTCGTTCAGTCCGAGCTCACAGGCACGCGCCTCTCGCGGTGGACCTAGCAACAGATCAAATGGCCGCTGGAAGCTCTCATAGCCCAATCGCGGTACGAGAGCAGCAAAATGCACCCACACTGTCTAACGGTGTTGATTATGTCGAAGACACGGAAACATTTCTGGGTCGATGGACAAAGAATAGCCTCTTCAAAGACATGCAGTCGCAGCCAATCAAGGCCAGCAAGGTTAACGGCTTCCAGAGTGAAGAAAGACAACCTTTCCAAGCAGGCTCACCATCCGTACAAAGCCGTTTCTCGATGGATCAGACGAATCGGCCTCAATCCGTATACCTTGACCCCCGCAACAACGGGAGTGCGGACCAAGTGGAAGAGACACCGACACGTTCTCGAAGCGGACGTTGGATTCTGCGATTCTCCAGGAACAGGGAAAGCCAGCGGCGCTCGAATCTCCAGCCAAAAGAGCCATCTGAGGACTCATCGGTACAGTACGAAGACCGTGAACATCAACGGTTGGGACGAACAAACTCCACCCGCAGCGATATGGCAGAGGAGTTGGCGAGTGCATATCAGGAATGCATTGAGATGCCAGGGGCATTCTGTGGCAGCAAATGGGCTAGCCGGACTAGCCTGGTGGTGGAAGCAGAGTGATAGTGAACGAAACGACAGAGCTCATTGAGGTATATTAGTTTTTGGACACGCAAAAAACATTCTTACAGTGATGGATTTTGTGTTGCAGTTATTGTTACCCGCAGGAACAGAGTTGATTGAATTATGAATATATTCCACGCCAAATGTCATTAATCGTACAGAAAAGAAGTATGGGTAACGTCCCAGATACACATCGTACATCCAACTCCAGTGCACACAGAGTAGCAAATGGTCTATCTCCGCTGCCGCTTGTTGCTCTCACTTGCGCCACTTAGGACACTAGCAGAGCGCTTGTGGTTCCCTTCGGCACCGTGGGCATGACCTTGTGTAGCAGGATTTTCATTTGTGGACTGGGCTTGAGCACTACCGGCAGATGAATCCAAAACAACTGCGTCACCATCCTCAGCCTCGGTCTTTACCTGTGGGTGAGGATGTTCTGGCTCTGGAATACCAGCGGCTTCTCTGTACTTGCGCTCGCGCTCTGCCTTGGCAGCCTCGAGAACGCGGATCTCGCTTTCAACCTTCTCAGAGACCTTTCGGGCATCCAGTAGTAGGTTGACGGACTGGATAAGTTTCTCGAAGTCCTTGCATACGCGTTCGGTAGGCATGAAGAGACGGACGGGGATCTCGAGTTCGGAGAGGGCGCTGGCCAATTTTTGAGTTTGTACATTGGACTTAGCCTGGGTGAGGCGCTGGGCACGGTCGCTTCGGAAGTTGACACCTGCTGTAACACGCTCGTGGTGCTGGACGCCGTACCTGGCTTCCTCGGCTGGGGTGAGGGTTCGCACGTTTTGTTGGGTATCCCTTGAGGCCATGGAGCCCTTCTTGTTTGCGGCTTGGGTAACAGGGGTTTCGGCGCGGCCGAGGCCACCGGCGTGAGTGGGTGTCTGGCCAGCGGGACTGGGGATGGCGCCATCACCGAGGATGGAGCGGCGTTTCTTGCTCTTGTCGGCTTGCAAAAGAGTTTGTAGGAGTTGGGATAGGCCTGCGCTGGACTGGTACATGGTCGTGTTTCCAACGCTGATAGGGACCTCGAGGCGAGAGTAGAGTTCGCGGCGCTCGGTGATGAAGCTCTGTTCGTTACTAGTGATGCGCTTCAGCTCCTCCAGGAGCATTGCCTCCTCACGGACTTCGTCAGCTGTGCGGTTAAGCTGGAGGGCGGCCAGCTCCTTGCGATCTCGTTCCCGGTCTGGGTCGAACTTGAGCATCTTCTCGTGTAGTTCAAACTCTGCCTCCGACATCTCGGATGGTGGGTGTTCCAATGAAAGCATTGTCGCAGCAACGTAGTAGTACCGTGCCTTCATCTGCTCCATTGTCCGGAACTGTTTTGCTGGTACAATCGCATTGGCGTCTGGCTCCGTGTCCATTGGCGGTTGGTAGTCGTATCGATCCGCGATGACCACCCATCGAATATCGTATTCGGTGACCAGATCCACCAAGTAGTCGGTTTCCTCGCGAGACCAGTCTTCGCTTTTAAGGTGTCGCGCATAGTCTTCGTCTGTGTATCGCTGGGGTAACCGCGGTTTGATGTTGTATTTGGCGAAAGCGTATTCCTGCTCCGATGGTTTGGGCGCATCGTCTTTGGCTTCTTCCTTCGGTTGATCAACTTCCATCTGAGACCCTTCAGGTGCCGGCGCCGCTACGGGGGGTCTTGCCGACTCGTGTTTTCTCTGCCAATGGTGTAGAACCAGGCCATCGGAACGAGCGTTGTTGGTGAACGGTGCCATGCTCCTATACACAATCTCATATCAGCATTCGCCCAGACCTCACAATATCCAAAGCCAGGACATACCACGGCCGGACGCGCAATTTGTTCATCCATTTTGGTCGACCTTTGTATTTATTCTCATTTATCGCGATTGGGGGCGCTCTTTCGCCTAGGAGCGCGTACAGTTCGCGAGTGATACCCTCTGCAACGGAAATTGTCAGTCATTCGGCCCATTCCTAGCAGTGTGGAGGGCACGAACCTGGTCGCTTTTCCACCACCTTTTGCTTCTTGTGTGGTCTGGGCTGCCCTTCTGCGGGCAGATCCAGCATGTCGCGAACATCGGCGGCCGCGGCCATGATGGCGGTTCGGTCGGATGGGAAATCTGCTCTGGCGCGACGCGATAACTCGACGTATTGGGTTGAAGTAAGAATCGTACGCGATGAGGCGACTGATGAAAACAGAATACCGCGTTTGCCTTGATGAAACAAAGAACAGAGGAGTAGTAAATTGAAGACCAAGTCGACAGAGGTTTCCCGTTGGTAAGGGAGGATTCCGAAGGCGGCAGGCGGTGAAGTCCCACGGTCCCTGATGTTGACACCTTCGCGGAGATACTTGGAATAGCGACTCTCCAATTGCCCACTCCTTCATCATGGCTTTCTCTGGGACATCCTCGTCATGGCTGGCATCAGCCTTGACTCTCCTCTCTCTATTCTCTCTTCTGATCCCCACTAATGCCTTGTACTTCTACATGGAGGGCAGGCAAACGAAGTGCTTCTTCGAGGACTTGCCCAAGGATACACTTGTGGCCGGTAAGACTCAATGTCTTATGCCTGCATCAAAATGAAAACTAATGCGTGATATTGGAATAATAAACAGGCCGCTTCGAGACACATGTCCTCCAACCTCAGTCCAACACCTACGCAATCGACCACAACATGAAGGTGCTCATCACCGTTGAAGAGACCTTCGACAATGACCACCGAGTTGTTTCCAAGCGCGACAGCCACTCTGGCCGCTTCCATTTCTCCGCTGCCGACGCCGGCCAGCACAGAATCTGCTTCACGCCGGAGACCGATGCCACCTCCGGCTTCATGTCTTCTTCTCTGGGTGCTGTCAAGGTCAGCGTTGATATTGCCATTGGTGAGACCAGCAAGATCGAAACCGAAGACAAGGACAAGATGAAGGACATTGTGCAGCGGGTCAAGGATCTGAACAGCCGGTTGCACGACATCCGCCGTGAGCAGGTGTACCAGCGGGTAAGTGATCTCCATATCCAGCTACGATCCGCTACCAAATTACGGGTCCTCATACAGAATGAACTATGTATGTACTAATGTGATTTGTTTAGGAACGCGAGTCCGAGTTCCGTGACCAGTCCGAGACTACCAATTCTCGCGTTGTTCGCTGGACTCTCATTCAGCTGGCCGTCCTTTCCGCTGCTTGCGCCTGGCAACTCTCGCATCTGCGGTCATTCTTCATCAAGCAGAAGTTGACCTAATTTGTTGCCTTCTTCCCTGCCACATACCTCGTTTCTAATGCCTTGCATGTCCCTTTCATATTTGCTATGGCCACGTTAGTTTACGCGAATATTGACCACTGGTTACCCATGGGATTCGATTTTATATTGTTTCTTTGCGATTGAAATAATTTCCAGGCTGTGTGAATGTCTGGGTTATTGATAGGCAGCAGACTGGGTCAGCATTTCAACGCAAAAAAAAAGACTGCGGTGTGCTTGGAGCGATGTCGATCTTGATAATGGATGTAATGATAGCTTTTCTCTTCTATTTCCTTTCTCGTTGTAAGTTCCCTAGGTCAGCTGTACTCGTACATGGAGTATATACTCGCCCCAAACAAGTCTCACTTGGTCTCGGAACTAGCCCTAGCTTAGCATAGCAAAGGGAATATTTTCAACCTCTCTCCCTAATAGCTGTCCAGTAAACATGAGCTACCTCGTATGAGATTATGGAGACGATGGCCTTATAAGCTCAATAGCAGAAAGACTTATACTGTATAATACAAGTAACTCTGAAGTCTAGTCTCATTGCGATCTAAGATCAGGGTGTATGTCGTGGACAAGGGCGAAACGTGCATTTTTCGACCATGGTTTGACAACGCGTGGTAATGTGTCATATGAATGTTCTTAATAGCCAATGCAATCGCCCATTGCTCTGTCAAATCAATTATGTATCATATCTTTTGTGCTTTAGTTTGGTTTTGTTTTGATATTATCCTGTGAATGGCATCGATAGCAGGGAAATTATGTAACATTATTATGTTACGTGTGTAGGCCAAACTATGAGTTCGATAAAAAAAAAGAAAGTTTGTCAAAAGGGCATGGAGGTAAATATGCATTGCATGGCGCTATATAGCAGAATGTTCACTTGAGATTTTATCATCAATCATTATATCCAAGAAGGAGGTAATAAACAAAATGGTGTTAAAAATGCCGAAATGGTATATGGCAGTTAAACATGAAGAGAAGAGCAAGACATGCAAGCAAATAACAGGCAAAGCCTAGAGATTCGCTGTCTTGTTTCGAAATAAGAGGCCCCTGGGCCAAACAGAAAAGCAATTGGGTTTTGTGTAGGGTTGTGCAAGATGAAAGCAGTATGTTTTGATGCTGATATCAACGGAACATAGCTGTTCAGAGGTTGGGCTTGCTAGAGCCACCGCAGAATTCGAGAATCAATCGTTCAAGGTCGGAGAGTTTGTAGGGTTTCGTCATGTAGCCCTTAATTCCCACCCTGGATGCACGGTTCAGTGCCTCATCAGTGACGTCTGCGCTAACGGCCAGAACGGTAGGAGGTGGGAGTGCCCAAGAATTAATGGGTTTTGGATCCATCTCCATCGAGTCGGGGCTGTTCAAATTTGGTTGCTCGAAACCGGCATGTTGATCTCGGTGATTATCGACCATCTGAAGAATGCGCGAGGTGGCTTCATATCCGTCCATTTCTGGCATCCAGAGGTCCATTAGAACCACATCAATGGCTTTCATCTTTGTCGCCTCGCACGGCTCATTGATTACGCCTTGCATGCTTTGCGCGTTGTTGGGATCGGCTTCGGGTTCCTTCGATGGTTTTGCAGCAGACAGAATACCGTGCACGATTTGAACTGCTTCTTTGCCGTCGGCTGCTTCGAGGACATCGCGGTAGCCAAGTTTGCGGAGCATGTTCACAAGAACGCGTCGGTTGATTCGGTTATCTTCTGCAACAAGGAAGCGTAGTGGATACTTTTCTGCGAGCTTCTTATCGTATACATCGCCAGAGGAGATGTTTGTTCGATGTAGACGGGGTTGTGATACTCGGCGCGGGGGCGTTGGGCTTTGAGACATGTTCTCGTCTGAGGTACTCGGAGTTGGTTGCTGCAACTGGCTATTTTGGGGGAGGATGAAAGGGGATACGGAAGAAGAAGGCTCGGAGATGAAGCCGGTAGCACTGCCCTGTCGTGCTTGGTCGTTGATTGTGGGTGGTGTCAGAGTCCGTTCGTTGGGAGTTGCAGGTCGGCCATCAGCCTCGCCTTGATTCACAGGAATACGAATTTGGAATTCCGAGCCACGATCTGGCCCTGATGTTGACGAGCGTTCGCAGGTCAAATCACCGCCCATCTTACGTGAGAGTCCCTTGGCCACGAGGAGACCAAGACCCAGACCGTCTTTGCTCCTAGTGGTCGATGCGTCCTCGCGAGCAAACGCTTTGAAGAGGTTCGGTAGGAATGCAGCTGGAATTCCGGGGCCAGTATCTCGGACAAGAATGAGGACGTCGTTTCTCTTGGGGTCGATAGTGGCGCACACAGTGATGGTGCCGTTGTTGGTGAATTTAATTGCGTTGAGGAAGACACATGAAATCAGTTTGGCCAGGTCACGGTCATCGGCAAGAAGGGTATCGGGCAGTGCTGGATCCACGGACCAGTCCACAACCTGGGTGAACATTTCGCCATTCGATGACCGGGACCGAATCTCAATCCTCTCGCCAAAATCGGTTGTATTGCTAACGGCAGAATCAGGTCGGCCCCCGACGTGAAGAGACTCGTTAATCACCAAACGAAGAAGATCCCGCAACTTGGTGAAGCGCAAAGCAGAGCCCCTTGAGTTCACGTTGATGCCCTCCAAGAGTAAGTGAGGTGCGGATCGTCGAACGGCGAGAGACGGGCGTGGATCGACCATGTCGGCCATGACAGCTTCGATCTGGCGAGCTGGGGTTGCATGGACGATCTGGTCACTCTCGTGGACAGCATTCTTAACTTCTTCACTACGAGGCGAAAGCTCTTGTCGAGATGATGCCGCGCGAAGCCTCTGCTTCCGTGTCGGCCTTGGATTCATTTCGGGTGGTAGACTGCGTCGTCGTTTATAGGGATTGACCGCGATGTTGTTTCCTTCAATGAAAATACTCGGGCGAGTTTCGGGGATTTCGGGTATATAAGGAATTGCGGGTTGGCCTAGGATTTCACTTTCCTCTCGCTGCGGCGTTTTAGGGACCTGCATATTGAGATCGTATGCGTGAACGACATTGTCAGCTGCCTCAACAGCACGTCTCGCGCTATCTTGCACCATCTCAATCCCCTCTTTAAGAGCCTGGAATATTGCACCAGATTTAACGGGAGTCTTGCTCTCCATCGCCTCGCGTACCGTGGCATGCATAACATCGAGCATGCCTACCACACCCTGCATTGGAGTCCGTAATTCATGTGACAAACTTCGTGCGTACGGTTTGAGGGGTTGGGAGTTGAAATGGGAGTGTTCGTGAATGCCGGTATCATGGGGGTGGGGAATTGAGGTACTCGTAGCGGAAGTATGCGAGGTTTGGCCGTTTACTAATACCTCGCCAGAAAGGAGTCGTTGCACAATGAGGTCTTCAAGCGAGTGAAGAATCATCTCCAGAAAAGACCAGGATAGATTTCGATTCCGAAGACCATCTTTCGACCACATCAACCCGAGGTGCGCCAGGCACTTTCCAGCCGAAAATAGTGGAATCGCCAAATAGCCATCGGCGCTAAATGGGAGTTGATCGTCGCCGAATGATACCAACGAGCTGAGGTTTTCAGGAATCAAACAAGGACGTTCGTGGTCCATGTGCAACAAAGGGTTTCCGCCTGCGAAATACCTGTTTCGCTGCAAACCAACTGTCTGATAGCCATCGTTGTAGTAGAAAGCCGCGCCAAACAGCGACGGGCGCCGCCCGCATAGTTCTGGCATGGGCTCACCTCCGTGCACCCTCCGGGCCACGAATCCATACTGGGCTTTTGTGATCGAGGTGATATCTTCCATGAGCCGTTTCCAGAACAGCTCGGTGTCGGACGTCCTCAACCCCTGTTTGAGCGTGACCAGATGCTCAATAGCAGTGGTCTGGGCACCGTCGTTCCATGTTCCCGAGTCGAGTTGCACGTCGTCGTCACGTACGTTCAGATCAGGGATGCACTCGGATTTGCAGGAGGGGAAGGGCATGGTGGGACGTTGCACAGGATTGGAGGCATCCGGCTCGGGCGTGTCGGGCATAGTCCATGTGGTAAGGGGAATTCAGGGATCTTTGTCCTTTCTTTGTTGATTTAGCTGAGGACAACAACCATGGCTGGATGAATCAGAAGAACATCCACCATATATCTCAAGAAGAATGTCCGGAGTGAAGGAGGGGAGAGGGGATTTTCCGTTAGTTCGATGGGGGCGGTCTAGACACGGGCGGGGCCTAAAACAGCGATTTCTTTAGAACTTCATGTATTTGAACATAGGCTATTAACTGGTTTACTGCTTCTAGAGGGTTTGTGGTGCTCATTTTGGCCTTCTTTTTTACGTGTTTGTGTATGTTTTTCTCGATCCTTGCGGTGGTGCATGGAGGTCGCGTTAATGGGATCGGCGATCTAGACCAAAACAGGTCCGCCAGGTACTTGGTACTTCGTTTTCTGGGTGTTACCCTGCATATGCTAGGTACTCAGTACATGACAGGGGTGCTCGATAACAACACCTCTCGAGGATCATTTGAGATCTTCAACGTCATTTGATTCGGAACTTTTTCCTTTTTCCCTCGCAATTGAAATATATACGTATTCCAATCCCGGTCTACAATTTCTGGGGATAAAGTTAGGGCAACGTCTCAGAATTGCGCGTAGATACTTGGCGTGACCCGATTAGGATATATTAACGATATCATGCCAGAATACTTGCATTTAAGTATGTTGAAATTTGAATGGAGAATACGATGAATGATGCTAGGAAGCTATTGCCAAGAGCCAACGAGGTGGTTTAAGTCTGATCTCTCTCTCCATGAGAGAGAGATCCTATTTAATGAGAAGCATTTCTCCTGAACTATACTCTACATGGTAGGTCAATGCTGATCATGAGCTTCATGCTTGGCGAAGCAGGCATTTCATGCCTGGAGATGCCTGGAGAGGCCATGAATCTCAACACACCCCCTCAGTATTGAAGCTATCATGTCCTTCAAAACGCCTTTCGCAATGCTAGCGCGTCGCGGAATGCTTCGAATGCAGGTCTTGCTAATGGCTTGGTGAGACCATCAGCAATATTGTAGACGCCAGCGACGTGAGAGAGTCGTATTTTGCCTTCTTCAACTCTCTCGCGGATCCAATGGTAATGAGTCTCAATGTGGCGGCTTCTCGAGTGATGCCTTGAGGTTTTAGCCATGGAAATCGCGGATTGGCTGTCGCTGTACAGGCGAATTGGTTCCGACGCTTTCACTGCCTGTAGATCGACGAGCAAGCGATGAAGCCATACACCCTGGCTTCCTGCGTCTGAGAGAGCGTAATACTCTGCTTCGGCTGATGACTTCGTGATGCAGGATTGCTGCTTCGAAGCCCAAGAAATTGGACCGCCAGCGAGGTAGAATACCTATCCTGTACGGCTTCTCATGGTGTCAGGATCCGATGCAAATGACGCGTCCACGCACCCCCAGAACCCGTATCCGTCCTCAAAACCAGTATTACCACTCGTTTTCGGCCGTCCGTAGGTTATCGTAAGGTTGCTGGTTCGCTTAGCGTACTGGACGGCTTGGTAGACGGCGGAGAAGTGAGGATCGTGGGGTTTGAGGTTATGCTTCGTGAGCATCCCAAGCGCTAGGGAGAGATCAGGACGTGAGACCGTGCTGGCGTAAATTAGACTACCGGTGAGAGACTGGTAGGTCTTCACGTTTTCACGGTTTGCCGGTTCATCGGCTTTCCTAAGCTCGGTGCTAGGACTGAATGGGATGAAAGGTCTTGGAGAGGTTGCTGGGACGTCAGGAAACTTGTCAATATAGGCTTTTTGGCCTATTTTCATGATTCCGGCTTCACGGTCACGTTGGATCTTCAGGCTAAGGTAGTGAGAGACTTCACCTAGGTCTGAAATAGACCATTGCTTAGCGATCGCTTCCTTGACTCTCTGAAGCGTTGTTGGAGACGTCGATGCGAGCAACATATCATCTACGTAGACGAAGATGATGGTAATTCCACCCCCTTGCTCGTGGCGTACGTATAGACATGGATCAGAGGATGAGGCATTGAAGCCTTTGGAAAGGAGGAAGCTGCTAAGGGTCTTATACCAATTGGCTGCTGACTGGCGCAAGCCGTATAGACTCTTACGAAGGCGACAGACATTACCGTGAGGTTCGACGCCATGAAAGTCGAGACCGTCGGGGTATTGCATGTACGTTTCCTCTTCCAAAATCGCATTGAGATAGGCCAAATTGACGTCTAAATGCGTCGAATATAGCTTCTTCAATGTGATGACTGCAAGGAGTACTCGGAGGGTCTCGTAGCGGCCGGTGGCGGCGTACGCATCCTCATAATCAATGCCTTCTCTCTGGGTATTACCTCGGGCCACCCAACGTGCTTTGAACTTGGCAGGTCTGCCATTGGCATCGGTCTTGAGCTTATAGACCCATCTACCCGAGAGGATCTTGGCCCCTGGTGGTGGAGATGCTGGTTGCCATACTT